ACAAACAAAAAGTTGAACATTTGCAACCAACCTCTGCTACCAATTTATATTGGGGACATACGAGGGTTCTAACAAAAGTTCTCAGAGTAGCAATGAAAATGGCATACAATTGAGCTGAAAAAAATTTATTCTCTAGCCAAAACATATTCTTTGGCACACAAAAAAAATCAGCCCGGTTTGACAATTTTTAAAAAATATTTTTGCAAAATTCATCCATATAGAGTTTTGCTCTCCACTAAAAAAATGAGGCGCCCTTTTTTGTTGTAGCCCAGCTTTCCCCTCAGAATTCTTGAAATCAACGTGGCATTCATGCCAAAGGTTGCCTCCAGGTCATCCAGGGTAATTCCGCCATTTTCATCAGCAGCCGCCTTCACAGCCGCCAAAATGTAGGCCATTTTCATTGCTACTCCGAGAATTTTTGTTAGAACCCTCGTATATTAGGTTTTGGAGAATGATTTCAATTTTCTGCGCAGTAAGCTCTGAAATTAATCCAAAATGCAGTTGAACCTCAATAACTCAAAACTCCATTGTTTGAAAACTTTGGTTTAGTTCATCAGCATTAAAAAAAACACAGAGCAGTGTTCCCCAACCTTTTTGTGCCCGCAGACCAACAAATTGCCTTAAACATTTTTACGCACGGGTAGATTTCCCAAAACTTTTCTGCGCAATGTCAAAATTGTGTAAGATTTTTGCAGAAAGCTTTATGACAGGGATTTAAAAATTTTCCGCGTTTTTTGTTGCAAAAATGGAGATCCAATGAAGCAGGAGTACAGTGGAATGTTTAAAAAAAATCAGAAAGGTGGGCTTGAAGAAAGGTTTCTCAGACTGAAATAAGTAAAATAATTCATTTCAAGCGTAATTAAGAGAAAAGCCAACCTAAGTCTTCTTTGGATAATTTCAACTACCATTTGTTTTTCCAAGGTTTCAGATGAAGATGACAGACTTCATTGCTTTTTTTCTCAATTTATTTTGCTGCAGAAAATTTCCCGCGGACTGGCAAAAAAATAAGTTTGCGGACCGGCGCTGGTCCGCGGACCATGGGTTGGGGAACACTGTTCCAGAGAGTGAATCAGAGCTTTTTTCGAACCCAATGTCTTAGTACTGGATTTAGGTCATAATGTCCTGTTTATGATCATAAAGTACTTTAGTACTCCGTGACTTGAGGAACCCAGCATTTTTTTTTCTTGACGGGAAGCATCATCAGCTTATAGATACTCACATTTCGTGGCATAAATGCACCTAAATATCTTACTCACATGCTCATCTTTTTCATGAAACATACGTTTGGAAGTTGTCAAAGTTGAAAATAAATTTAAGGATTCAATCAGGTTAATTTTTTTTAGACCATCGCATGAATAATTTGGGAGTTATTTAAATTGTTTGCGCTCGTCACTCATCAGTAGTGATCCAAGAATGCAAGAAAATTCTGGCACCATACGAGCATTAAAGACGTTTTCTTTCTTCTTTCCTGAAATGTTTTTCTTCTTTTAGTTGGCATGAATGAAAGCTTAAAAACTACAGTAGTGAGACCCCCAGATGAGGACATAATTGTTGCATCAAGAGAGTCCCTAAGTTGAATTGCCCCAAAGTTGAGTCTTGTTTTCCCATAGACTTACATTATATGATTTTTAATTGGAGTTTTATGGAAGAAATATTCTTCAGAATTCCATGAAATTTTTTTTTTGCCACTTGACGTTGATTCAGTGAATATCTTTTGAACCCAATAAGAACATTTGGAGGATTGAATAGTATACTGCTGTACAGATCATTGAAATGTTGGCATCTGTATAAAAATAACATCCAAGTCACAAAAAGAGAAGGAAGTCCATCTGTGCTATAGGTAATTTTTTTAAATTAGCTGAATGGATGGAAAATGATGGGAAAAGTACCAACGAATTTTTCTAACATGGATCTTAGGGTTGGAAATATCTGTTCATTGCAATTAAGCCTAATAAAGGTCAATTTTTCTAAAATGTATTGGCAATTTTATCATGCAATGTCGTCATGTTGAGTCAGTGTCCCTATGTTGGGCCTTTTTATGATTTCTTTTATTGAAAAATAAATGTCCCTATGTTGAATAGTCCCCATTTAGAGGTGTCCGCATGTGGGGGTCTCACTGTATCCGATTTTTTGGAATTTGTGGATTTTACGAAATTTAGAAGGGATTTTTTCATCGATGTTTTTGTGGGTTCCGAAGGCATCAATTGCTGTTGTACCGTTTCAGTATCATCAGCAATTGATCGCAGCTGATACTCTTACTAATTGGCAATTGATATAAAGCATCATACGTTGGAAGATCCTAAATGTTTGAAAACTTCAATACGAAATAAAGACAGGAGTCGCTGTCTCTCTTTCTTCGTTTGCTTGAACCTCGATCGAGGCACAGACGAAGGATGGAACAGCACAATTCCGGAGATTCCAAATACTGTACAATGAAGTACAGAAAAGTATAAAACGTAACGCAAATTTCGGAAGATAAATGTTTATAAAAGGTCTGAACGATTCGTTTGCGTTCGTGCTCTTAAATTTATTTTTTGTTCGTTTCTTTGTTTGCGAGTGTATGGGATGTGTGGTGAGAAAGAACCAAGCATCTTCTCGGTCTTGACACGGGTGTCAAGTTTCTTGTCTGTCGATCGACCAAGTCGATGGAGAAAAGTGACCTTGATCCTCTTACGCGCAGCTTTGGATGACCTCATTTGGTTCTTTGAACCGTCTATTCATTAGATAAAAGTCAAATCCCGTTGGAAACTTGTAAAAAGTCAGCAAACCCAGCTCAAGAATCTCCCGTCAAATTCCTAAGTGTAAGAAACTTGAGGAGCAGGATCCAAAAGCAATTTGCTGTCTTTGGAAAAGTCAGGAAGAAACCAAACACAGTGAGACCCTCACATGCGGACACCTCGACATGCGGACGCTTGAACATAGGGAATTTTTTTTTCCAATAGAAAAGGCATACAAAATGCCTGAAATGCGGACACTGAATCAACATGTGAACATTACATGATAAAATTGCCAATAAGTGTCAGGAAAATTGACTCTCATCAGGTTGCATTTTTAGAAACAAATATTTCCAACCCTAAGATCTATAAAAAAAATACTTTGGTATTTTGCCTTTCTTTTTCCCATCCATTCAGCTGATTAAAAACATCAACCCCCATCATATAAGGACTTCCTTCTTTCTTTAATTGTGACTTGAGTGTTGTTTTTACAGATGCATAACAATGTACTGTATACAGATGTACAGTATTCAATGCCCAAATGCTCCTGTTGAGTTGAAGGATATTCACTGAATAAATTTCAATTGGCGGAAAATTTTTTTTCATGGAATTCTGATGAATGTTTCTTTCATAAAATACAAATTGAAAAGTATACGAGTATCATGCAAGAGTATGGAAAAACCAGATTCAACTTAGGGACATTTTGACTTAGGGACACTCTTGATGCATCAATTATGTCCGCATCTCGGGGTCTCACTGTAGAGTACAGTGAAATTCCTTTGCAACAAATCTTTCTTGACGCATTTTTTTCGTAGTCTTAGCAGTTTCTTCATGGGGAGAATGTTGCATAAATTTCGTTGAAACAAATTAATTTTTCTCCATGATCTTAGTGTAACTATTTTTTTCTTTCATTATATATGTGCAGGGGCCATATAAAATATTTACTAATCGTCACAAAGTGGGAAAAACCAACTTGTGCACAATTGAAAGACTTGAAAAATTTAGATGCTAATCTTATTGTGCAGAAAATTTAGCATTGTAGTAAGTATGAAACTTTAATGTGTATAATTGTTTTCAGGAAATTTGTGGAAGGGAAGGTCTTGAATAAGAGAATTGCTTTTTATGATTCGAGTTTTCTTTATTATTTCATCTAAATAAATTGTCAATGATGGCAATTGTTCAAATTTCTGTTGTGAAAGTAATTTTTAGCATTGTTCAACCCGTTTCCCATGAAATTTCAGTCCTACATGCTCAATGATTCAAGAGTCTCATTAGGAAACCAGGAGTTAGTTATAACGAAATATTACTGAATGCCTTATTCTTTTTGTCTGTTGCACATTTTTTTGGCTCGTGGATTTGTTTGTGCCTATGACTGACGAACTCTCAAGATAGTCGGACTTCCTCAACTTGAACCTCTTTTCTACAACTACTACGAGAGTCACATATCGCTCGAATGCGAAAAATTTGAATGTGGGAATAAATGTACTTGATTGTGTTATTCGCATGTTCATCTCTGAAGTAGGAAACCCCATAACTCGAACCTCACGGAGTCAAGAAAACCTCCCTGCATTTTTCGAAGACAAAGATTGACGTAGAATTCAAATGGAAATGATTTGAGAAAGGAAGGGAAAGTAATGTAATTGGAAAGAGTAAATCTTGCGAGGTTCAGCATCCTGAAGTTTTCTTTTTAAAGTTTGATTTGTCAATACGTGTTTTCTTTCTATCTTGAGAGTTCGTAGTAGCTTTCTTTTTTTGGTTGGGGCTAGTGTTGAGAAGTGTTGAGTGCGTGACAGAGATCTTCAATGCCAGCACCATGTTCATGGAATTATTTACATGGTGTCATGGGTCCATTGGATCCCAGACAAAGGAATTTAATTGTGCAGCCATCAGAATGCAAGTTTTGAATTCGAACTCAAACTCTTTTCAGAGGAGTTCATTCTCATTGCCCAGATCATCAATTGCCTGTTAATTGAATGGTTGTAATGGCAGAGTCAATTGTAAGATTGGTTGGTTAGCTCAGAATATTGAATGAGGTAATTGAAGTGAAAAGGCCCTTTAACACTAGTTTCTGACTTCTCCTCTCAAAGAGGAATGAAGGTTTTTATAACCAAGTTGCTTGGAATGGGTCAGGAACTGGCTCAGGATTGGCCAATTTCAGGAAAATCAAAGAAGTGATGACCACTTCTAGTCCTTGAGTGAGGCTCCGTGATTCTTGCCAAAACGGGATTTTTGCAAGGCTCACTGGCCTCAGAAATGCAACAAATTTTCTTGTCCGGTTGCAGCCGGATGCTGGAGCTACGCCGCTTTGGTACAAAGCACATGGTACATCAAAAGTGTTTTCTCAAATGATTAAAAGAAGTCCTCTCATATTTTCTGATGAATACATAGATTTTTTCTTGAATTTTCCTGAAACCATTTCCTCATTTCCTTGGATTAATAGTGGAGCTCATGACAAGTTCATGTAAAGCCCTTTGCGGCAGCCACCACAATTAAAATATATGCATTGAAAGATGAATTTAAAGATTCAAATTGCCCCCCCCCGTTCCTACGGAAAGTTCATAAGGCTCTGCTTGTGATTCAATGCATGACACTGAATTAAATTTGGAATTTTTTCTTTAAAAGGAAAAAATTTGGAACCTTAAAAATGGTGACCTCTGGAAAATTGATGAAAATAATTTGGGCACCCCTGGGTTCTTGATTACTCCAGGGGGGTTTTCCTGAAACATTTTCATTCTTTCCTCTTCGGCCTGTTCCAAATACCGAAGATAATTCAAATAAGAGGGAATTTATGACTCAAAAATTTTTCTTCTGCATTCTCTCTCTCTTTCTCTCTCCATTTTTTTGTCTTCACAGGCAAGTCGTTTAGACTGGTGTATATCGCAGTCAAGTTCCAGTCATCTCGTCCCGACAGTTTCGCCATCTACAAACGGGTTTCCAGGGACAGTCCCTGGGTTCCGTTCCACTTCTTCAGTGCGTCCTGCAGGGACAACTACGGCGTTGATGAAAAGCTAACCAGCCTGGTTGTGGGTTCTCCAAGGGCATTGTGCACATCGACGTACTCGGATATTGTGCCTTTGAGCGGCGGGGACGCCGTTTTTGGCACACTCGAAGGACAGCCCAACAAGCACAAGTTCGAGGAAAGCGACGAGTTACAAGTGCGTTTTGGTTTCTGTTTGTTTCTTTCTTCTTTTTTCCAGAGTGGTTGAATGATGGGCGTGATTCAGCTGATATCCATAATTTTTCCAAAATAAAAATTTAAATTATTTTTACTACAGTTGAACCCCTCTAAGTTGAATTTCAAGGGGCCAGCAAAAAAATTTGCCTTAGGGAGGTTTTGAATTATAGAGGTTTTGATCTACAATACAATGCTCTTTTGTTCTGAGAAACATAGAAAAATTGCCCAAAGTTGTAAATGGTGGTATTCTGGGGCTTAAATTGCTTCTTGAATGAGTTGGAAGGATGCTGTTGCAGGTTGACTAGACGTTGCCCATGGCGCAAGGTACAACAGGCACAAAAAGTACAATGCAGAGTACAAAATTCCACATCGTATGAGAAAACAAATTCCAGAAAATACTAACATAAATAAAAACATATTTTGAAAGAATTCCAAACACAATCAACCCTGAATATAATGATCATTCCATTAATCATTCCATCAAGTGAGTCATCAATTGATCAAAGGAATTATTGAGAAATATACACACAGAAAATTAGTCACACCCCAGTGAAAGCCTTGGAGAAGCTTTTCACTGGGGAGGACCTGGACCTGTGCAAAATCATCAGAAGAAATCTCAATCCTGCTATGAACTTTGGAGAGATAAGACCTGCATTTGTGTGTGACATATTTTGGTTGAGAACATTTGTGGACTTGGATATACACAGACGTAGAGGAGTTTGAAACCCTCAGTCCACAAATGGCCAATTGTGCTTAACAGTTTATTTTACTATAAACCAATATTTGTGGTGAGGTCTTAGGGACCTGTCACAGATGCTGAACTTGTAGGCAGGGGTTCATTTGCCCAGCAATCTAGTCTTTCACTTCTTTAAAAAACACATCCATTTCTGTTTTTATAGCTGTTTTCTTACTTTTGTCAAGAAAATAATAGCCATCAGGCTGCAGAAAATTCAACTTACCAAGTTCGAGGGGAAAAGCCTTTAACTTACAGAGGGTTTTAATGTACTGCTTCTAAGGGGATTCAGACAAGGGATTTGAAAAAAAAATTTGTCTTAGTGGGGTATAAGACTTTGGGAGGTTTGGGTTATCAAGGTTCGCCTGTATTATCTTATCATTATTTAAATGGCCTGAAAAATATTTGCTCCTTGTGACTTGGGCGGAGAACTCGGTCTGTAATTGGAAAGTTTTCACTTATAAGTTATAATCATGCAGTAAACTGATATTTTTTCAAAGTCCGGAGATGAAATCCCGAAACCTTAGAATAATGCCAAGAGCTATGTCAAACTTTTTTTTTTACAATCACGCCTACTTCAGAAATATCCGACTGAGACAACCCCTCGTATTGTTTTTGGAAAATTATCAAATGAGAGAATGTTGGACACATTTACTGATTTTTCCTTATAAATAAGCGGCCCTTCAACATACCGTATTATACAGGAGTTGAAAGTTTGAAACTCATTTCCGAGTCAAATCTGAAGGGACTCTATAAAATTGATTCAAGTTCTCTTGAGTCAAGGAATATTGTGTGAATAGTCAATGTGAATGATTTTCTTGATGAATTGTTTACAAATTTCATCATTCTTTTAATGTCAAGTAAGTCGTGGCTCTTATTTTTTTCTGACAGAACATTTTCACGTACATCTACATGGGGACAATTCAACATAGGGATATTTATTTTTTAATGCAAAATGACAAAAAAAGGCCCAACATATGGACACTGACTCAACATGAGGACATTGCATGATAAAATTGCCAATACATTTTAGGAAAATTGACCTTTATTAGGCTTACTTGCAATGAACAGATATTTCCAACCCTAAGATCTATGTAAGAAAAATTCTTTGGTACTTCTCTCATTACTTTCCCATCTATTCAGCTAATTAAAAAAAATTTCCTGTAGCACAGAGGGACTTCCTTCTCTTTTTGTGACTTGGATGTTATCTTTACAGACACCAACATTTCAATGAACTGTACAGTGGCATACTATTCAATGCTCCATAATCCCGAGTGGGGAAATTGGTGCACACTGGGGATTTGTTTGTAATTCTACACAGTGACCCTGCTGTGCACCTGAAGTGTACCAAAGTTCTTCTGTTGCACATGCATATCCCCATATGCACCAATTGTGTGTTCACACAAGGATTACTCAGGGTCACATTTGTAAACAAATAAGTTACTCCAAGGTTACAGTTGGTGCATTTGTGTGATGCTCCTGTTATTTCACATTTGTGCACCAAGTGTAACCCTGGAATGGTAGCAAAATTTCCTCTACAGGAGTGCACACTTGTACCCCCAGAATATCCCATATGCTCCAGTTGTGAACCTGGTGTGCACCTACTGTGGGGTCACAGCAAAAATAGCTCCCCACTCAGGGCAAGTGTTCTTAATGGGTTGAAAATATATTCACTGAATCAAATTCAAGTGTCAAACACAATTTTTTTCATGGAATTCCGGATAATATTTCTTCCATAAAACACCATTTGAAAATCATATAATGTAAGTTTATGGGAAAACAAGACTCGACTTTGGGACAATTCAACTTAGGGACACTCTTGATGCACCAATAATGTCCACATCTATAGGGGTCTCACTATCGGAATTCGTTGCGATGGAATTTAACTGGTCCTGTAATCAACTTTCCCTCCCTTTTCCTTCCCCCCTTTCGCAACAAGGAATGGGTCACAGCCACCGAGATCAAGATCACGCTGGACAAGATGAACACCTTTCGGGACGAGATGTACGGGAAGCAGAGCGTGTTGCAGTCCTACTTCTTCGCCATTTCCGACTTGACCATCGGCGGTAGGTGTAGGTGCAATGGCCATGCCCCGGAGTGCATAGACGGCATCAACGAAGCCGGGGAACGAGCACTCATCTGCGACTGCCAGCACAACACCGAGGGAGACGACTGCCAACGGTGCAAACCGTTCTACCAGGACGCCCCCTGGCGGCGAGCGTCGGCGCTTGGATCCTATCCCTGCCAACGTGAGTCAGCTTGGTCATCTTTCTTGTTTTTTTTTTTTTTGAGGTCATTGGAAGGTTCGGGTAGAGATGGACGCTTTTTTTGGTGTGTGGAAACTTCATGACCTCTTCCATGGCAGAGAAAAAGTTTCATGAAGAATCGTGAAAAAATGCGGAAGTTCTTATTGTATGTTTACGTGAGGTGGAGTCTCCAGCTGGGAGCGCGCGTTGCGTTGGCAACCCTGCTTCCTCTGTCATCTTGCGCGTTCCGCTCTATGTCTTCGGGTGTGATCTGATCAAAAGACTTATTCTAATCATATGGGTGCAGAGAGATCAAAAGTAAGAGAGGGAAATCAAAGCAATATTTCAAAAGTCAGGCAAGGGTATGTTGAACAAGTCATGCAAGATTAGGCATCATTGAGTGAGATCAGTCAAAATCATGTGGGTTTTTAAACATTCTTTTCTTTAGCTTAGGCTAGATGAAATCAGTTATGTATGATAAGCTTTGTTATAGATGAGTTGAATAAGTTAGGTTAAATCAATTAGTTTAGTTTATGTTATGCTTTACTGTATAAGTTAGGTTTGGTTGTTATCAGAATTTCAATCAGATGTTCAATAAATAAAAAGATTTCAAGACGTCTCTTCAGTCTTTATACTTGAAACTTTACTGTTGTATCATACTTTTAATTTAGGTATAACAACTTAATCAAAAGTGGAGATTTATAATCATTATTACTGGGGTTCTGTCAATTCAATACTCCTTAGTAGTTTCTTACAAAAGAATGTAAGTATTTATTCTTGTTTTCAGCGGGGATAGAATAACAGCGTACTTTGACTTCAAGCAATTGATAAGCAATGAGCGCATATACATAGACAGGTGGATAGCTTTATAGACTTTGAGGTCCAAAATTGGATAAGACTGGTCAGACCCAGATCTAACCTTCTTTTGAGGGCCACAGCAGTGCTGGGATTTTTTTTTCAGGTTTCTGCATTTCAGTTTGACCAAAGGTCACCAAAATGCAGGTTTGGCTGAGTAGCCAAAGTTGGGGGAAATCCTGCAAAAAGAAAGTCATTGTCCTGGCAATCCCTCAATGCTAATCCTACAGCAGGAATGCCCTACAACAGAAATTCAGAAAAATGCCACCCAACAGTAATTTTCCCACTTTTTTCTTGCAAATTTTTCTGCAGGAATGCTAAGAAAATTTTGCGATTTTTCCCGACTTCACACTCTTCTAATCTTTTTGTCCACCTTTTTTACTCCGTGGGGCATACAATTTCATGGATAAATCCTGGCACTGCTGCCCAAGGGTTATGGACGAGAAAAAGAAACACACAACTGTTTCAAACGTCACCTGCTAGTAAGAAGAAATGATAGGATTTTGACGACTAGGTTATATTATTTTAGATGAGCTATGTTAGATACATCAGGTTGATGGGTTTTATTGGTACTGACCAAACTTCAGCGCTAACTTCATTGACATTTTTACACTACCCTATTGACAAAGTTCCACACTAATGCTATGTACTCCTACCACTACATCTTTGAAAATGTCAGAACTGCCAGTACAGCTAACCTGCCATGCTTTAGAAAAAATTAACATCCAAAAACCAATGCAGCCAACAATGTTTTCTGTGCCTCTACCAGTACTGCAATATCTGTACTGTACTGCAAAATTAATTCATTTCCAAGCCGCACCCCTCCAGAAATTTTCGAGTGGTATCAGCTGCATGGGGAGCGAGTATAGAAGGGGGTTAAGGACCGTGTATCCCATTTTAGTTGGAGATTGAAGCTCTCATCATCCCCCCCCCCCCCCGCCCCCAGCCTTTGGCGTAACTCAATCTCTGCCAATTCCACAAGGCAATATTCTGACGCTCCCCCCCCCCATTCGAAGTTGTTTTCCTCACGGTGACAAAACACATCCTCTTTACATTGTCACCTGGTTCAACCCATGACGTACGGAGGAGGATTGCTGCCAGCACCAGGTTTGCCAATTTTTCCAAACATGAAAAAAGAATGATTCTTCACTTGAAATTACGATTCGTTCAAATCAGTTTGTGTTCTGCACTGATGAACAGAAAAATATTGACGTGGTCCATCGACTTTATTGACTTGGTCTTCGCGAAAGACCTACTTTCGTACCTTTCACGTGATTTACGCGAAAACCGCGATTGCGAATATTTACGTTTTTTTTTGTTATTTTGCAACAGTTGAGCACGTTTTAACGAAAGTGTCGAACTGTGGCAAAATCGCAGGATCTTATCATGTTTGCCATTTGTATCGTTAGTGGGGTTTTACATCCATTCACCAGCTGGAAAAAGGCGTTTCGAAGATTCGGGTTAACTGAGCAGCCGCGCCTTTATAAAAACTTTTCCAACACGTTTCAAACGCCATTACGGCAAAGGCCTCTATTCTAATCACTCGGTCTGCCCAAGCCAAATTTTGCCCAAAAGGAAAGCAGTGGTGATAGCGACTTTATTCCAGAAAAAGAAGGGAAAAAAAACAAACCAACCTGTACAGTACAGTACAGTATTTGCTGATGTGTGATTCATCCGTTCACACTTGAACACTTCCTGTCGGGGCAACGTGGTAAATGTCTTGATTTCTTGCTGCCACACGAAGGCGAATGACTCAAAATTTGAAGGAAAGGCATTTTCCGGGAGATTCTTTTTTTTTCATGGTTTCATGGGAACACTTTTGCCTCGTGTGTGTGTCCCATTTGCTAAAATTTGATTGTACTCGAAATCCCTTTTGGGCGACAAACATGAAGTTGAACCTTGATAACTCAAAACTCCCCAAGTGGTATGCATCTCTATGTCAAAGTTTTTTCAAGTCCTGGTCTGAATTCCCTTTGAATCAATGCACTAAAAATCTCTCCAACTGAGAGACGTTTGAGGGCTTTCACCCTCAAATCTCCATGACAGAACAAAAAAACCTCCAGAAAACCCATAAGAAAGTAACTGTGTTCTTTCTCCATTTTGATTTATTAATGTTAAATATAGTAAATTGTAGGGGAACTATGTACTATGTTATCGAAAAAAAAATGGTTAATTAGGCAGTTTAATAAAAAAAAATCATCAAATTTTCGTAGGTGTCCGAGTGGTTTAATTTCTGCAGTATAAATGCATTGGTTAATGCATCACCAGAGGGACCTTCTTTTCTTATACCGTGTGCGGTTAGTGAATATACGGTATTCACAGTCTTTCGCTGTGGCTGATATTTGAACCCAGCAGTTTTGATGATGACAGACAGATCAGCAATTTTCCAAAATTTCGGTTGATTTAGCAGCAACCCAGTGTCTTGGGAAAAAATAATTAGGGGAACCTCTGAGGCGTTTTACTTCGGAGTTTAGCTGGCGTGCCAGACGCGCGGGTTCCCATTTGTTTATCCTAACTCACCCTAGTTGAGATCTCTTCCCCCTCCTCTGCGTTTGCTGGGATCGCTTCTTCTTCTTCTCCTTCTCATTAGGTTTTTTTTTCTTTCTAGAAATGCATTCTTGTTTTTTTGGAGGTCTTTTGGGTATTCTTTCATTGACACAAGAAAGAGGTAAAACTAAATAATTACAATTTATATCATTTAACATCCCCTTGATACATGATACAATAGCTTTTTTTTTACCAATTAATGGCAGTTTAATAAAAAAAAAATCATCAAATTTTCGTAGGTGTCTGAGTGGTTTAATTTCTGCAGTATAAATGCATTGGTTAATGCATCACCAGAGGACCTTCTTTTCTTATACCGCATATGGTTAGTGAATATACGGTATTCACAGTCTTTCGCTGTGGCTGCAATTTGCACCCAGCAGTTTTGATGATGACAGACAGATCAGCAAGTTTCCAAAATTTCGGTTGATTTAGCAGCAACCCAGTGTCTTGGGAAAAAATAATTAGGGGAACCTCTGAGGCGTTTTACTTCGGAGTTTAGCTGGCGTGCCAGACGCGCGGGTTCCCATTTGTTTATCCTAACTCACCCTAGTTGAGATCTCTTCCCCCTCCTCTGCGTTTGCTGGGATCGCTTCTTCTTCTTCTCCTTCTCATTAGGTTTTTTTTTCTTTCTAGAAATGCATTCTCAAATATTTATTGCATATATTTGTTCCTTGGTTATATGCTTCGTTTTATTCCTTCAACGTTCCTTCGAGGTCTCAGCACCAGCGGCACAAACATACGATGCATGTAGAACTTCTCCTTCGTTGTCTTTTTTTTTATTTGTGTCAGAGCCTCTGAGGATGGGATTTTTGATGGTTATGTAACTCACACCTTCTACTCTTCATCTTAAATTTTTTGCTTTTCATTTCAAGCCAAATTCCGGACGACGGTCTTCGTTTTGGCCATCGCCGAGTGAAAAAATATTATCCAAGAATGCATAATAATGCCTACTTGAACGCTGATATATTTATGAAATTATGGAAAAGGCGATTAAAAAAAATCCAGAAGACTGTAAGAAAATAGTTCAAGTTTCGACTGCAGAAGAAAAAAATAGATAAAGCATTAAAGACACATCAATGTTATCTCGAGCCTTTTTGGATGATTTCGAAGGGATTTTATCTCCTGATTTCTGACTTGATTTTGTGGGAAAACAAGACATTTTTTATTATTATTCTGCAGTCTTGTTGTATTTTTCATAAGACCATTCCTTAATATGCGCTTTTTTCCATATAATTACCTTGTGAGTGATTTTTTTTTCAGGCACTCACCAAGAGACTACGCAGTAAAGCACAAAATTGGTGTCTTCTTTTTTTTCGAATGAAACTGTGAATTTAATATATTGATTAGTATGACATTGAAACAATATCCTGACAACTTCTTGCTCTTAGCGTTTGGAAGTCCACAAATTTTTAGACTTTACCCTTCGCTTCTCATTTGCCCCATTTTTTTTAAACCTCATTTACCTAATTTTGGAAAATTATCGAAGTTTAAATTAAAATTTTATAAGATGAAAGTATTTTTTGTGACGAAAAGCTGGTTATGTGAAACAATTATGTCATGTGAATCAACTCCCCCCTCCCTATAATTTTTCTTTATGCGGTTTTTTCGTTGTGCGGGTGTTACTCCCTGTAATGTATAATTACTGTACTGTGGTAGGTCTTCTTCAACTCGAAAAAATACAATGTCGGAAATGCACCACAAATCTCATCTTCAGCATTCACAAGTCGGAATCCGGCACTCTGACATAATGTTTATGAATTCGCATGTTGATGAATGTAAAAGATGGCTGCAGCAAGCAGATGAGATGATATATCCTCATACTTGCTTGGATTCGCATGCTGAGTTGAAACCGAGTTGGTAATAAAGTGGTTCGTCATTTTCACGTGAAGGAGTTGTAATTGGATCCCGGATGACCTTGTGGTGCGACGGGGTTCTCTTTTGGAAAGCCCATAATTCGCTGATGTCATGGGCGTGTTCATTAACGTTACCAGTCTCAACGCATCCGGATTGATTTGCATGAGCTTTGTAATTTACTTTTGTTTTCTCTTGATGCGAAAAAAGTTGAACGAAGCCACATGAGCTAGGTGTTGTGCGCTTTGGTTTTTCCTGGCTGTGCGCTGCGGAGCTCTTTGATGAACCGCCAAAGACATCAGCTGGATGTTGCTTAATGGGTCAACAGATGACGCCACAGGGGAAGAAAACGAGTACAGTGAGACCCCCACAAGCGGACACCTCGACATGGGGACAATTTGACATAGGGACATTTATTTTTCGATAAAAAAATCATAAAAAGGCCCAACATACGGACACTGACTCAACATGAGGACATTGCATGATGAAATTGCCAATACAGTTTAGGAAAATTGACTTTTATTAGGCTTAATTTCAAGAAACAGATATTTCCAACCTTAAGATCTATGCAAGAAAAATTCTTTGGTACTTTTCCCACCACTTTCCCACCCATTCAGCTAATTAAAAAATTACATATAGCACAGATGGACTTCTTTCTCTCTTCGTGGCTTGGATGCTAATTTTTAGGATGCCAACATTTCAATGAACTGTACAGCAGTATACTATTTGATCCTCCAAATGTTCTTATTGGGTTCAAAAGATATTCACTGAATCAAATTCAAGTGGCAAACAAACATTTTTTTCATGGAATTCTGAAGAATATTCCTTCCATAAAACACCAATTGAAATTTGTATGTAAGTCTCTGGGAAAACAAGACTTGACTTAGGGACAATTCAACTTAGAGACACTCTTGATGCACCAATCATGTCCTCATCTGGGGGTTTCACTGTAAATAGAAGTGCAGTAATGTACTGTACCGTATAGCGGAGAAAGCATGAAATGCCGTTTGCTTCCAGCAGTTGCAAGGTTCAACATATATACTCTCTAAGAATTGGAAAATGATCAAACTGTCATTTTGCCCTAATGAGCTCGCAAAAATGTATAAAATAAATTCAACGATTGTTGGAATTTTAAGAAATATCGTCTCAGTCCGACGAAACACACATCTTGCATATGGATGAGTGATTCATTGCGGTATTAGTCATAGAATTTTCAAAAATCGAGGACGATGAGACATATATTGAAATGGAAAACCTGAACCCTGTCAACGAAGAACCAAAATAAACATCATATACAGTTTTTTCCAAGTATTCTGGGATGCACTGGACAATATCTGTTCAAACTGTAAAAAGAAAATAAAATGACCGCAAGAAAAATGAAGTTCATGAATGCAGAGAATTTTGTTAAAATATTAAATATCACTCATGCGACCAAAAGTTTCAGCTTTCGATTTTCAAGCAATGTATAGCAAACCACTGATGGTGATACCCTGAAGCAAGTGCCTGCTGGTGGTGCTTTTTTCTTCTTCTATTTTTGTCTAACTGCACTTTTTAGGATATTTTTTAAATTTAGCTGCGCGTTTTAACCTAGAAAATGAAGCATTCAAAATTTGAGCAAGAAAAAACTCAGCAGATGTTTTACTCGACCACAGACGATGCGTCAAATGTTTGAACCCTGTGCGAAACCGTATTTTTTGAAATACTGTAGAATACATAGCAGTAAATCTCGTTACAACGAATTTCGCCATAAAGAATTATTCCTTACGAAGAATTCGTTTTTGTTTTCGGTGTCTATCCATTACCCACAGTGCTGCTTGAATTTCGTTTCAACTAATCTCTTTTACTTCGGTTACCCCAAGCGCTTGGTTAAAAAATAAGGGTTCGAACCGTCTGGTCAAGTACCAGATCTGCTGTGTTTTTGTTTCACAAATTTTGAATTTTAAATTTTCTGTATAAAACGTGCAGATGGTAAAACTTCTCCGAATTTTTTTTTTAGCTAGATAAAACTTCTCCATCCGGCGATTCTAAATCCCGTTTGAAACAGGAGTTTATTTTCTCGTTACAACGAATCTCGCCATAAAGAATTAATTTTTTGAACGGATTTCTTTTTTAGTGCCCCTATTCAATAGCTACACTGCTATTTAAATTTTTGTAAGGAATCTTTTTTGAATGTTCAAACCCTTTGTTGTAAAAAGACCCTATACTGTCGCGAAAATAAATGACAAAGGTATAATTTGTCACACTAAATTAATAAAGATGAGAATCCAAATTCTCAAAAAACTCATCCTTGCACATCTTTGTGAGAACCAAGAGAAACTCCATTTGGCACGCCTATTCTTGAACCTTCAAGGGTTTACATCATTGCCAATTTTCAAAAAAAAAAACCTGAACAGTTATTTTCTACAAATAACTCTTGTTTATCCTTGAAGAATAATTTTCCTGTTTTCACTCTCTCTGTTTCACACATCATTCCATCCTTAGCTCTTGTCTGTGATCCTCGAGAGAATTTGCGTTATTTTTTTTTGCGTACTCTCAAAGTCCAAATTACAAGTTTATAATAGGGGGAAATTTCACACCAGTCGTAGCCCAACCAAATCACTTAGCATTTTGGCTGCTATTGTTTTTTCGGTAGAATAAAAGGTTGGAACAATGAGTGTGCAGTTTTTTATGATTTTCAAAGGAGCCAGATTATTAAACCGACTTTTGAAGGGCGGGAATTTTTATTTATTCAGTTATTCTTAACATTCCTAACATATACTGCTGCGCAATGAAAAAAAAAACTTGACCCTTTTTCAATTAATTAATTTTTTGGGAACTCGAAAGTCTCGAAAAGTTCGGGAAAAAAGACTGTGTGTAGGGTTTATTGCTGGAATCGCAGCAAGCCATCTACAACCGGGATTCATCGATTCATGCACCTGTCGATTTGGCTTCCCCAACATCTGGAACATTTTGAGCGTGGGTTTCTCAACGCCTCGCAGTGTTGCCCGATTCCTTCCACTCACTCCCCAATATTCCATTCATCCGCTTTACTTTACCTTGCTGTATATACCTTCCATCTCCTTCTTTCGAAAGAAAAAATGGATTACTGCAGTACAGTAATGGTTATCGATCCTCAAACATATTTTTTTTTCTTGAGAGAATACATTGGTTGAAATTTGAGGAATATTTCCGTAGCCCTTTTTTTTGCAAATGAGATTAAATGTGATTCATGAGCATGAAACGTATTTCAGTGAACGCGGGCGAGGCCTATTTTTGGGATACAGTAGATTCCTTGTACTCACACAAGACCCCCTTTTTTTCTGCTCACTCCACAATATTCCGTTCATCCGCTTTACTTTAGTTTACTGTACCTTTATTCCCTCTCTTTCTTAAAAAAAAAAAGTGGAGTACTGCACTGTGATGTTTTTCGATTCTCAAAAGTTTTTTGTTGTTGAAAGAATACTGTTTTTTTCAATCATCCACGACTAGGGGTTATTTACGTAGCCTTTCGATTTTAAGTAAAATGAAGCGGGATTCATGATAATGAAACATATTTCCGTAAACGCTGGTGACTATTTTTCAGTAATGCACAGCATGAAATGCGATCATTCCGCGGAATGGGTTTATTTACGTCGCTTAAAAAAAATGAATGAAGCAGATTCATGATCATGAAGCATATTTTAGCAATCGATGGCGGGGCCTATTTTTGAATTACAGTAGATTATTTATTTACAGGTATTTCTACTCACTCCCCAATATTCCACTCATCAACTTTACTTTACCGTACCTGTCCTTTTTTTCTTTCGAAAAGAGGGGTTTAATTTACTGTACAGTAATGATAATCAATTTGTTGATGAGAGAATGCATTGGTTGAAATGCCGTCAATCATCCACGACTAGGGTTTTTTAGTCGCTTTCTTTTGAATAAAGTGAAGGAGGATTTATGATGATGAAACCTAGTTAAGTAAAGGGTGGTGCGGAATATTTTCGAGGTACAGTAAAATCTCGTTACAACGAAGCCGCTGGGACCAGGAAAATCACCTTTGTTGTTACTAGAATTCGTTATGAAGTACCTCATTCAACATGG